CTATCTATCTATCTATCTATCTATCTATCTATCTATCTATCTATCATACTAATCCTGGTCAGCCTGAGAACTGTTTTTGGAAGCAGAGTAAATGTTAGAGTAGAGATGAGACGTTGTGGTGAAGGTATAGTCCAAAAGCAGTCAGCTTATAGTCACAGAAAACCTTTTATGAACTACTGTGAACATAAACCATAAGATGCTTTAAATGAATGGGTTGAAATAAAATGCCTGGGGATCCTAACAGGACTTTTTGTCCTGTCCAGTCATCTTTCTGGTAGATCTGGCTCCCCTGTTGTAAATTCCTTTATCAAAAAGGTTATATGAGATACCTTTTTATGATATCTACACGTATATGTATGTGTTCAGTGTGTTGTTTGATACTTCTGGTCTGAGCTACCCGACTTCCTGGTTTCATTGAAACTAGAAACAAGCCCGTTTGCATGTTATTCTTCTGCTAAAGCAGCTAAATAAGTTATCACACCGAAATACCTCCTAACAGAGTATTTGATGCTGTGTTTAAAACCCACTTCCCGTCCACATAAACTCGCCTTTTTAATGTTTAAATCTGCCGTTTAGCGAGCGACACTCCCTCCGGGGTGCATTCAGAGCTGCATCCTTACAATCAATTCCTGTTCATGTGTAACTCTGATGCAATTACGGTTGTAATCGCATCAGTGGGTTTGACTGAAAACCCCCCTGACCTCTTCCTCTGCCCCCTCCAGAGCTGGTTAAACGTCGGTAGCGCCCCCCGGAGGCTGAAGCTGACGGTGTCACCGCCGATGGAAAGCAGCGGCCGGTCGCCGTGGTTACACTCCCTCTCTGTGTCACAGTTTTTACCTGACGAGCGGACTTTTAACCCCACCCAGAGGGAGAGTTATGCGTGTGTGTGCGTGTGTGTGTGTGTGTGTGTCTGTTCGTTTTGTGTCTGAGGAAGGAGGCCCTGGAGAGAATGTACAGAGCTCAGGGATGAAACCAGCATGCCGGGCGGGGTGAAGAGAAGAAGGAGGTGAAAGAGACACGGCGGCGAGAGCTGGACGACTCCTGTTGATCACATGGGAAACAATCCTCCAGACGGCCAGCTCTCAGCTCCCTCTGGGGTTTGTGTGTGTGTGTGTGTGTGTGTGTGTGTGTGTGT